CCTTCCTGGCCACCCTTAGGCTTGAGGCAGCCCTAGGCGACCAGGGCCTGGGTGCCGGGGGCCTCAGCTGTCTCCACGGCCCACTGAGAGCCCCCTACCCCTGCCACTTGCTGCGCCTGCCTGTCTCCCAGACTGAGGTGTCTCTGTCCACGTGGCCTGTGTGCCACGCACGCAGGAGGGATTCACTGCGGTGTTCTCTCCCCCACTGGGAGGAGGTGGCCACCTTGCCCTGCCCCACCTTCAGCTGTCCCCCCGCAAGTGGGGAGACGGAGGCTGGAAGGGAAAGGAAGCACTGTCATTAGGTGCTTTGGAGCAGTCAGTGAGAAGCTGATGTTCACCTGGGGCCCCTCCCTCGGCCCCACCCTCCCCCAGCTGCTCCCCAGCTCCGTGAGCTTCTCCCCCACCCCCGTCCCCTCCCCGGCTGCCTTGACCTCCGCACAGGTGGGAGGAGGCAGAGACCCCAGGCAGCCTCTGACACCCATCCTGCACCCCATTCTCCTGGGGTGCTCATGGAGCCAGTGCTGAGCCCTCCTCGCACACAGCTGCCAGGCGTGCCCGGCCCTCAACCCTCCCCTACCTGGGGCACCTGCTCCAGGCCAATTGGGTTTGATCTGAACACAGCTCTGCTCTTTGTTTTTGAAATATTTTTATTTTATTCATTTGAATGGCAGAGCTAGAGAAAGGGAGTAAGAAAGAGAGAGAGAGAGAGAGAGGTTGATTTTATATCCACTGGTCACTCCCCAGATGGCTACAACAGCCAGGGCTGGACCAGGCTGAAGCCAGGACCCAAAAGCTTCTTCCAGGTCTCCCTCCTGGATGCAAGGGCCCTAGCACTTGGGCCATCCTCTGCTGCTTTCCCAGGGACATTAGCAGAGAGCTGGATTGGAAGTGGAGCAGCTGGGACTCGAACCCATGCCCATATGGGTGTCAGCATTGCAGGCAGCAGCTTTACCCACTGTGCCAGAACTCAGACTCCAGATTCACACTTTGGAAGCTCCATCCTTGTGGCCGGGCTGGTCTCTGAGCCTGTGAGTGTGCTGTGGGGCCCTTGGTCCAAACAGGACGATGACAGGTGCACAGCCCCTTCCTCCTCAGAGACCCTTAGAGCAGGTGGTTTGGGGATTAGCGAGACAAAGCAGCTGAGGTGTATTATCACAGGGTGTGCAAGGCCCAGGGAGGCCGGGCCGGCAGGCATGCTCTCGCCATTCCTGCAGAGACACATGCGGCTCCCAGCAAAGAAGCCTCCAGCCGCTTTCACGTCCGCTTTCGAGTTCCCTGAAAACCTGCAGACAAATTTGTGTTTCCCAGAACACGTGATTGCTCTGGAGTGGTGCAAGGAGGGCTGCAGCTTTAGCCAAAAGGGGCACTACTGCAAGCCCAGAGCTCCAGGAGGCTGGGGCCACTCTGGCCAAGGGCAAGAGCGGGGCCTATAAGTGTGCTGGCCTCCAGCGGGGTCGCCCTGACCGGGCCTGTCCTGGAGCTCCCCCCTAGGGAGGAGACATTTCCCAGTGCTCACACCCTTGACCCGCATCTCTGAGAGGGGGAGGGGGAGGGGGAGGGGCTGGGAGAGGCCCTGGGCCGAAGCCCCTGCCCCAGCGATGCTGCCCTGAGTGTGTGCAGGTGACTCAGGAGTCTCCAGGTCTCTGGGGAGCATGGCCCATTGCATTCCCTGGAAGGTCAACTCTTCATCCTGCAGACCTGCAGCCAGGGAACTGGTACTGTCCCCTGATCGGTACTGTCCTCCCCGCCCCCCTCAGCCAGCCATCTCCATCTAATGGCCCCGGAGAGGGAAAAGCACAACTGAAACCCATTAGACGGGAGGTGGAGGCCGTGGCTGGGTCAGCTCAGCCCAGGGCCATTGGCAGGTGTTTCCAGCCTCTCCCCAGACCCTGCCCCTTCCAGCTCGCTGTGACTGATTTCAACAAACCCAAACTTCAGGATTTTTCCCAGATAATCGCTGGCTCCTATTAGGATTCCTTTGAAATGGGGAAGTGGCAGAAGAAGCTTTGTGGATATGAACTCCCAACACTATGTGCAGTGGAGGTAGGGGGTGGGGGTAGGGCAGGAAGGAAGAATCTGGGGCAGCAGGATGGGGTTAGGTCAGATCTCAGGAAGAACTTCCGGGTCATGGAGGTGTGCTGTCCAGGCACCAGTCTGTGTACTGTTATTTCCCGAGGATCCCAAGAGTCCTCTGCCCAGGGTCCTGACCTCGCTGGTGGGGAACCCAGTGCTCAGAGGGGCTGGGGGTGTCCCCAGGGTCACAGCTCTTAAGACCTAGGGACCGGCTGGCACCTCGGCTCAATAGGCTAATTCTCCGCCTGCGGCGCCGGCACACCGGGTTCTAGTCCTGGTCGGGGCGCCAGATTCTGTCCCGGTTGCCCCTCTTCCAGGCCAGCTCTCTGCTGTGGCCCGGGAGTGCAGTGGAGGATGGCCCAAGTGCTTGGGCCCTGCACCCCATGGGAGACCAGGAGAAGCACCTGGCTCCTGCCAAGAAAAAGACCTAGGGACCAGGCCTCCTGGCTCCCAGACCTGTGCCCTTGTCCACTCCCTCCCAGTCCATCTGAGCAGTGGGGGTTGCTTTGGAAGGCAGACTGTGGAGCAGGTGGCCCAGGCCTGGGCCCTCCGTGTGTGACTCCTTGGGGTCCCTTGTGACCATGGGTCTTCCATAGTGGGGGCTCCCCAGCTCCCCCAAGGCAGGGGATGCCCATGGGAGTTCCTTGAAGCATGTGTGTGTCCAGGGCGAGTAGTCGGCCATAATCCCAAGAGAGAGAAGAAGGTACCCCCACTGGACGGCCAGGGCCCACAGGTGAGGGCCGATGGCTGAGCACTCGGGCTGTGACAGTCTGGAGGCCCCAGGGGTGGTCCAGGCGGGCTGCCTGGAGGAGCTAGGCCCCAGGCGGGGAACCTGCAGACTGGACGAGTCCACACAAACTCAGCCATCTGCCAGCCAACAGTGTTTCCTTTTTTAACCCCGAAAAATATAGCCTGCCCAGCCTTCTGCCACACAGCTGGTGGGGGGCGGGGGCGGGATAATTATGGCCAGAGTGAAGGCGCTGCTCCGGGCAGGGGATGGGCAGCGTGGCCCGTGTTATTTTCAGTTTGGCTAATCCATTCATTTACCCATCGGCTCCCTTATTCAACCACAGGGTGGTGAGGGTTATGCTGTGTTAGAAACGGCAGTGGCTCCCACATACAGGACCAGGTGTCGTGCATGCGTTACCATCGTGTTTTGCTCCTGACCAGCCCAGGGGGTGCCGCTGAGAGAAGGAGAAAAAATAACCCTTGCTCTCGGGTCAGAACCCAGGCCCGCTGAATCGGAACCTGCCTGCGGCTCCCCACGCTGGACAGCCTCTTGTGCGCAGTGCCCGGGCCCTGCAGCGCTCGATCTGCGGGTGGGGACCCGGCCCTCAGGTGGGCAGGCACGGGAAGCCGAGTCCCTCCGGAACGCCTTGAGTCCCGGTGAGCCCGGACCACCGCACACGCGGTTGGGCAGAGCAGCTGGGTACAGGCAGCGGCTTTCACGGCCTTCGCTCGTCTCTCTAAGACGCTTCCCGCTGGGGTCCCAATGGCGTGTGTGTGTGTGTGTGTGTGTGTGTGTGTGTTCATTCTCAGGGCTGGGGATGGAGCAGGATCTCGGGCAATGCTGGTCTGTCTCTCTCTCACACACACACATGTGCAGTGTGCATGAGTGCCTGAACACAATGTGGGCCCCTCCATCAGAGGGTTCCACCTGATGGTGTAAATGAGACATGTCCTGGGGCTATTACATGGGACGGCAGAGTGCGTGTGCGCTCTGCCAACAGCGACTCATTCACCAAACGTTCTCTGAGCTCACACTATGGTCCAGGCACAGTGCCAGCCCCGGGTGAAGGATGGTGAACGAGACTGGTGCTGGCTCTGTGGAGTCTGGAGTGCCAGGGGAGGTGCCCCCCACCTCCCACCGGGGCAGGTCTGTGGAGAAGGGAGGTGGAGGGAGCAGGGGTGAAGCAGGGGGAAGCCACGCCCCTGCCCCCACAGCTCTCATCCTGGAAGTGGGAGCTGTGAGAGTGGCTGGGTGCCCCCAGGCCTGGGCTGTGCTCTGCAGCAGGGAGGGTCTGTACAGCTTTGCTTCCACGGCCCTGTCCCCAGCTCCCTGGCACTGTGTCCTGCGCTCTCCCTGGGACAAGGACAGTCACACACTTACAGCTCTAATTGAAGTCACTTCTGCAGTCTGGGAAGGGATGCTCTTGCCATCCTAAGAGGGCGGTATGGCTCCCTCCCTGCTTCCTCCCCTGCCTGCCTCTAAGGCCACCTTTCTCAAAGCACCTGCAGCCCCCCCCCCCAAGGGGGGAGAGCTGGGCTCCAGCTCCTTGCAGGCCAAAGGCTTCCTGCAGCCCACAGCCCAGGCCACCTGTTAGCCCTGGTGGATCAGTGGCTGGAATGTTCCCGTGGCCACTGGCTCTCAGAGAGGCACGTGGAGGGGGGCCGTGGAATCACCTCCCTGGGCCTGTCCCCCCCCCCACCATCATAGGCCCGAACCAGTCGCAGTGGGGTGTGCAAAAGAACATGCCACACGGGGGCACACACCACGTGCTCGCCGATGTGTGAGAAGCAGCCCCGCGGGAGGCTTTCCCGTGACGCACCGGGTGGGAGTAGCGCGGCCCCTGGCGTGCCTGGGCCTTGCTGTACTACTTTTCAGTGTGTGTGTGTGTGTGTGTGTGTGTGTGTAGGGGGGAGTCCATGACCCTCGACCTCTGGGGTGAGGAGGAGTCCCCGGCCGGCCGAGTCTTCCTCGGGGTCGGGGGTCCCTGAGCTGGCACGCGCCGGGGAGGGGGGCTTCCGGGCGAGGGCGCCAGTGGGGTGTGGTGGAGGCGCGCGCGGGGAGGTGGGGGGAGCCGCCTCGTGTGGAGGGGCGGCGGGGCGCGCAGGAGCCGGGCCTTCCGGGGGTGGAGGTGCGGGTAGGGGTGGGCTCCCAGGTGCTCTCTCTTTAAAAGGCTGGCGGAAGCGCCGCGCGCTCGGCCCGCACTTGCAGCGCAAACTTGCGGGGCTGGGCTCGCGCCTCCTCGGGTGCGGCAGCGGCTGTGGGCGCAGGGGCCAGCGGCTGCGGCCCCCTCGCCCGCTCGCGCTCCGCGGCGCTCCCGCCCCGCCCGCAGCCTCTCCTCTCGCCGTCTTCCCCTCTCTCCCCGTCTCGCGCTCCCTCTCTCGCTCGCTCTCATTTTTTTCCTTGCTGCTGCCGCTGTTGCCGCTGCCGCGGCGCCGCTAGGCGCCCGCACCCCGGCGGGCAGCGCTCACTGGTCGGCTCCCGCTCCGCTGCCTTCCCAGCCCGGAGCCCGCTGCCGGACCCAGTTCCCCGGAGCCTCCTGGCTCCTTCTCGCTCCGGCTCGGGCGCCGGGCTCCGCGGCAGCAGGAACAGGGCTTGCCGCCGCTCGCCAGCTCGCTCTCGCCGGAGCAGCCGCCGAACGCCGCGGGCTTGGCGTTCTCGCCAGCTCATCCCTGCTGCGTCCGGGACTCCGGGCGGCTCCGCGCCCTGCTCGGTCCGCAGCGTCAGCGCCGCCCGCCGCGGCCCGGGCTCTGGGCACCGCGAGCACCGAGCCTCCGGCCGCCGCCTCCCTGCGCCCCCGGGGCAGGCGGGCGCGCAGCCGACCCCTCGCCGCGGCTTAAACCTCGCCGGCGCGCGGTGAGTTGTGGCCCGAAGGGGACGGGCAGCGAGGACCAAGCCCTCCGGCCTCCTGGGACGCGGGCTGCGGCGGGGACTCCAGGGCTCGGGAGGTGTCCTTCGGCGAGCTCCTCCGGCCGGTAGCGCCCGGAGGAGCACCGGCCGACGGAGCCCTCGGGCCGAAGGGCGCGGGACCCCGGCCCAGGGGCTCTTCCCCTTGGGGTAGCGTCTGCTTTTCCAGAAGACCTGAGGGAGGGAATGGGAAAGCGGCTTTTTTTTTTCCCCCTTTCGGGCTTGGGAAAGTAGTGTCTGGACAGGGGTTATGTCGGGTAGCAGCGGATGGAGGGTCTTGCTGGCTCTCATCAGCGCGCCCCTCTGCGGAAAGGCAGGGCCGGCGGGGGCGCGGGGCAGTATCTGCCCCTCTTCTCCCGCCGTCTCTCCCCGAGGGAGGGCAGCGCCGGCTTCGCGCGCCTGGGCTCCCTTCCCGGGCACCGCGTCTGGCTCCCGTGCCGTCCCAGCGCCGCCTTCGCCACCGGCAGGAGCCGGCGACCCCCTCTCCCCTTACAGCCGCGGCGGCTTGGGGTGGCGTCCCAGGGCCTGGGGTCTCCCCGCAGCGCTAGCACCTGAGGGTCAGGCTGTCTCCGGACGCTCGGGGCCGTCCCTACCCGGGACCGTGATGAACCCGAATCCCCGCGCGGCAATCGGGCGCGTGGGCTGCCGAGTGTTTGTGTGAGTGTGTGTGTGTGTGTGTGCGCGCGCGCGCGCCTGGGTTGGGGGTCCCCGCTGCGGGGTCGGTCTTCCCCGGCGCTCGCGGGCTGGTGGCGTCCCCTCCCCGCGCGGAGGCGGGGCCGGGAGGGGGGAGGCTCCAACGGCGAGGGGCGCCCCCGCACCGGGCGGTCTGAAGCTGTTTGTGCAGAGCTGGGGCAGCCGCGGCGGCGCAGGGAGTCCTGAGGCGCGGACGGACGAGCGCCCCCTGCCCCTAGGCCCCGAGTGATGCCCCCGCCCTCACGGTTCACTCCTCTCGGAGGAAGCGCCTCCTTCCCCCATCTCCTCGCCTTCGCTGCCCGCGGCGCGGCGCGGGGAGAAGGCTGGTTCTTCCAGACGTCCACCGAGCCGAGCTTGTCTCGCTGGGCTGCCCCGTTGAGCCACGTGTCTGCCAGCCCCTCTATCCGCCTGGCAGGAAGGGGGGGGGTGATGGGAGGGAGCGTGGGTAGGTGCGTACTTCCACCTTGGGAGCGGGCAGAGGGCTCACAGGGAGGCCCTGGGTGCCCGGCACCCCTATCCCACAGCCTGCTGCTCTGCAGCGTGGGCCTCACAGCCCCGGGGGGCCAGCCCCTGGGGACGGCCCTCTGCCTGCCCCCTCTCCCCTACCCACAGGGGATGCTGGGCTTATGACTTTGTAGCTAGCAGGGGAGCTTCCTGTCTGTGCAGAGTTCCCACAGAGCAGTCTGGAGGCTGTTGGGTGTGGTGCCCTAGGGCAGGGGGCTCATCTGCTCTGTGGGGCGACCTGGAGGCTAGCGGGGAGTGGGGTGCAAAGCCGTTGTCCCCTGACCCTGACACACACACACCCAACTTCCTGGAGGGCTTCCCCAGTCCTCAGCCAGGGCCTTGTCCTTGGAGAGGTGGGGGGAGCTTTGAGCTTCTGTTTGTCTGGGGCGCGCACCTGTGAGTTAGGGCACCACTGTGGAAACCTCTCCCTCAACTTCTGTCTTCAGGCCTAAGCTTTCGCCCACCTGCCAACACCTTCACACCACCTGGACAGAAATACCCAGAAAGTTGTCCCCGACCCAGGTCTCAGTCACTTCTTGGATTCTCTGGCCCAGATGGGTTTGCAAGTAGGAGACCAGGAGGGAAGGTGGCAGGGCTGCACAGGAGGAATGCCCCCCCCCCCACCTTGGGCGAGTTGCAGGGGCGGGGGGGCAGCAGGTCCTGAGCAGGCAGAGTTGAGCTGTGCTCCCGCCTCTGGCCTAGTGTGGCTGCTCCTCCCTCCCACTCCCCCCACCTGCATCTGGGCGGCTTCATCCTGGCGGCAGCAATGACGTCTCAGGGAGGCAGCGCCTTGCACAGCACCACGGCAGGCAGCTGAGGTAGCCGGCCTGGGAGCCAGCCCCGTGCCACCAGCCAGAAGGGGCCGGGGGGTGGGGTGGGGTGGGCTCTGCACACCTGCTTCCTGGGTGTCCACAGCCCTGCTGCCAGCAGGAAGAGATGGGAGCCGGCTCCCGAATGTTGCAATTACAGCTAATAGTCGAGTCCTTTCCCCGAGACAAGTGTGGAGTCGGCAGCCCCTAATTACCGCCCTCCTCAAGATCTCTGCCCACCCCTGCTGTCCTCCTCTGCTCGGCCTGGACCCCAGCTTTGCAGTGGGCAGCCCCGCCGGCAGCCCGGGCAGCTGGGCGGCCGGCTGCCTGGGGAAGGTTATCTCCCTGCTGCAGAGTGGCGGCCGCCTCCGCCGCCCGGAGAAAGGCGTGCAGGGAGCTGGCATCTGGGCTCTGGCCCTGCTCCCCGAGGCTGGCAGGAGAGGCTGACCCGGGGGGGGGGGGGCTGAGCGGCCCTGGGCTCTGTGGGCCTGGCGCTGGGGGGTTCGGCATTCTGGCACCGGCCCCTCCCCTCGGCGCTGGCTCATGGAAAGAGCGGGAGGGCTTCTTTGCACGAGCGTCACCTCTGCCCTAGTTAGCAGGAGACTCTGAATAATGAATTTAGGGGCTGCCTTGACTTTGGCCCTTGCAGCCTTCTCTTCCCATCCTTGAGCCCTGCTCTGCTCTCCCCGGCTAGGCAGGTAGCCACTTGTTCCCCGCCGGCTTCCTTTTCCACCGACCTGTCTTCTTGCCCTAGCTTGCTCCTGGGAGGGCCGCATAGAAATGGAGCTTGTATAGGAAAGATGAGGCCTGCTCATAGCCCAGCCCACAGCCCTGCCCACCTGCCTCCTGGTCCGTGGCCAAGAGAGGCTCTTCTCCCGTGTCTGTATTTCTCTTGGCTCCTTGGAACACCGAGCGCCACGACGGTAGAGATCACCCCTTCAATTAAGGCCGATGGCCCCTGTGGCAGTGTTTTATTACGAAGCTCACTGTTGAGCGATTGTGGGGCGGCAGTGAGGCATAAATATCTGTGTACGCACGTCTGTTAAATAAGTCGGGGAACGCAGGGCATAATGACGTTATCTGGACCCCACTCAATTAGGGAGATAGCATCTGCAGTGACTGGGACATGCTGGCCCATGCTGTTGGGCGGCCGAGCCACCACGGCTGTCTCAGGAAGCCGCCGGGGCCTCCAGGAGGAGGGACTGGCTGCCTGTCACTGGCGAGGCTCTGGTCACCGGAGTCCCGGGAGAGCTCAGCCTGCTGTTCTCCCAGGCTAGGGCTGCCGGCCTCAAGACTGGGAAGTCTGGGTTCTGCCTGCTTCTCCCAGCCCTCCTTCTGCTCCTTAGGGAGACAGAAACCAGACCTGGGACCTGTTTTCTGGCTGGGGCCATGGCTACAGGGCTATTTTGAGGTTTAAATATAGGAGTAAGACCTGGGGACTCGACCTGGATTCTTGGTTTCTCTGATGTCGCTTATTGTCCCCTCTTGGGGCCTGGCCTCTGTGGCCTGGGGGCGGGAGTCTCAACCTTGGCTAAGCCAGCGGCCCCAGCTTTCCAGGGCAGTGCTGGAGCTGGGGTGGGGAGCTCTGGCGGGAGGAGGCAACAGCAGCAGCGACGCCCGCAAGAGCATCAGCCGCACGCACTTGCCCACTTGGATCTTGGGCTGGAAAGCGAGGGAGGGCGGTGTGGTTGGGACCATGTGGGAGTGGGGGCCCGCTGCTGGGCGGAGACCTGGGCAAGCTGAGCGTGGCAGCGGGGCCCCAGGTCTGGGCGAGGGGGAAGGTCACAGGCACCTGCTGGGCTGCACTGCTGGGACCAGGGGCCGATGGGAGGAGCTTGTTTGGCTGTGCTCCAATCCTGGAGTAGTGACGTGAGCTGCTGTGGGCTTCGCAGGTGGCTGTCCTGGGCCTTGTCCCTGCTTGTCGCTGTGTGTGCTCAGAGTCCTCCGGTGCCCCCTGATGGCCCTGTCCACACTGTGACCCCTCAGGGCCCTCTTGTCGTGTGCTCGGCACCGTCTCACGTCCTCATGTCTCTCCCTGTCCCACTGCCTTCCAGTCCCTTGAACACCAGATGTGTGTAAGTGCCTTGGCTCTTGCTATTCTCTCTACCTGGGGTGTTCTGCCTTCCAAGAGAGACACACGCGTGTTCACTGCTTTTAATCTCTGGTTGAATGCCCCCTCCTCAGAAGGGCCTGACTGCCCTCTCCCAGGAGAGCCCTTCTGGGGCACTCCCCAGTTGCTTGCTTGCTCTCCCAGGCTCTGACCCTGAGGGCTGCACGGCGCTCACCGTCTCCCCCTGCAAGGTCAGCTCCACAGGGCAGGTGTTGGGAGCTGCTCCGCCCGTGTGTGATTAGCCAAGAGCTCATGGTGGTGAATTGCTCATGCGTAGCCTCACAACGGAATTCAGTGCAAGGTGAAGACGCCCTGCCACGGGCTATGGTGCTGGCTGCTTGTCCAGGTGTTTATTAAACGTGTCCTGTGTTCTGAACCTGGACTAGGCATAGGCGATGCAGAGATGAGGCTGGTCCGGTCCCCACAGGCCCTTAGTATGTCCTCAGGCTCCTTAGTATTAACACGAGGGAGGGTCTGTGACGTTAGCTGCAGGGGGAGTGGTAACAGGAATTGGAGTAATCAGGGCAGGCTTCCTGGGGGAGCAGAGAGCTCAGCTCTGTCTTGAAGGGAGGCACTCACGGGCAGGGGCCATTGGTTTCAAGTTTCCCCTCCTTAGTACCCACTGGTGTTAAGCTAGGGAGTTGCTGCAGCCTTGTTGCTCCCTGCTCCCTCACGTGTCCCCCCGCCCCCCCAGTGCCTCCCAGAGCATGGCCTGCACAGAGCCAGCCACCTCTGGATCAGTGTGGCAGAAGAGGGAAGGGCTGGCCTGTGAGGTGGGGTCTGAGGTGTTCCCTGGAGCAGGGCAGGGGCTCAGTGGGCAGGGGGCTGGGGAGCCAGACCCCCAAGTGCCCTCCACCGCGTTCTCAGGATGAGGCGGTGCTGGGTGAGAGCCTGGGAGCTCCTTGTGCAGAGCAGGCCATGGCCAGCGAGACGCCCCCTGACAGCCTGGTCAGTCCTCTGTGGCCCATCTCAAGCTCTGGCCCCACGGCCACCATTAGACCGTCCGTGTGTGGTACAGGACTGTCGACAGGCAGGTCCTGGAGACGCAGCAGCGGAGGCCCGGGGTCCTGAGTTCTCCTCCCTATCACTGTCTTCCCCATGCTGTGCTGGGGCGCCCGGGGATCCGAGGAGCACGGCCTGGCCCCCCAGTGGTGGTGGCCCACGTGGCGCCGTGGCTGTGCCTACGACCTGCTTTCTGGTCTGCGCCTTGTGCAGAGCACACGTCTGCCCAGCCAGCTGAGGGTCTCCCCCACCGGGTTCTTTTCCTGTCCTGGGGAGTCGGCAGCGGCGACTTTGATGTCCGGTGTGTGCAGCTTTGGAGAGTGAAAGCAGACAGTGTCCCCTGCCACCCCTGCGTATGCCTGAGCAGCACCGGGGGTGGGGGCAGTGCAGGGGGAAGGAATGCGAGGGGCCGTGGAGGGAGCTGGGGTGAGGTGGTGAGCTGAGGGCAGGGGCCCCCGAAACCCCTCGGAGCAGGCCTGCTGGGCGCCCCCACTCCCCAGGCTTCCCTGCTGCTGGACCGGCCCTGGAGCTGCCGGAGCCAGTGTCAGGTTTCCTCTGTATTTATTAGCGTTTTATTCTGGCCTGTGGGTTTTGTTCCATTTCCTTCATTTTGGGTGGAAAAGTAATTGGGGGCTGAGAAAGTCACGGCGGTTCGTAGGACTGGTGGTGGCGTGTGCCCTGTGGTTCTTCCTGGCTGGGCCGAGAGGCAAGGCGCCACACTGCATTAGGGAGGCACAGAGCGCCTGCTCCCCAAGCCTGCAGCCTCACCCAGGCCCTCCCATGTCAGGGAGGCCTGTGCGCAGCTGGGTTGGGTGGGGACGTCCTTTGTGCGGGGAGGGGTAGCTGGCCACCGTCCCCCCAGCTTCCCTCATGTCCCCATTCACAGAGAATGTTCTGGAACACCCAGCTGGCCTGTGAACTGTTGCTGCCCTCTGCGCTCGGCTCTCCTATTCCCTCCCAGCCTAGCTCTGTCCTCTGTTGGAGCCAAAGAATCCAGCAGGGGCTGGAGCGGGTGGAGAGGGAGGAGAGGGAGGAGGCGCCCACCTGGCTGGGGCTTGTACTGGCACACTCCCAGGGGGTGTCATTGTTCCTGGCTGCTTTGGGATGTGTGTGTGTGTGGGGGGGGGGGGGATTCCTGGAGACTGGGGAAGGGGCCTCGCAGAAGAGCCCCTGCTAACCGGCCCCAGCTCACCCTTCCTGGGCAGATGCAGGCAGGGCTGGAGTGGGAGTGGGGGGCCGAAGGGAGCCCTGAGCCTGGGGCGGCTCCCGCTCCCACCCCGCCCCACCCCTGCCTCTGCTCTCCTGGCTCCTTTCACTCGCGGGGTATTTTTACTTGCTCTTGTTCCTGTTACACGATCAAAGGAAGGAGGGGAGGCTAAAAGCGGCTTTGCCCAGCTCTTTGGAGAGGCTCAGAAAAGGCCGGCCTAGCTGGGCAGGGTGGAGTGGGCCTGGCTGTGGTCAGGGGCCTGGGGACCTAGTCCTGGGAGTGAGGCCTTGTGGGGGTCTGAGCAGCTGGGGGCAGGGCCTGAGGCCGGGGGCTGCAGGTGCTTGTTCTCCTCCCGGAGGCCCTCTTCCCGTGTGGCCTGTCCTACCCTGAGCTTGTGCACGTGCACTCTGCTCAGCCCAGCCATGCGCAGGCCTGCAGGAGAAGCCAGTGTTGAGCCCCCTCAAAGGATCTGTGTCGGAGGCTGCTGTGCACCCGTCTCGCAGCCTGAGTCTGCTCTGCTGTCGCTTCGGCACACGGCTTGTCACGATGCCCAAAATCCCTCTGTTAGAAACTGATGGGAGCCAATCGTGAGCTTACAAGATACCGGGAACTGGCAGGGCCGGAGAGGTGAGGTGGGCCGGCCTGCTGGGGGCCCTGGGCAGCCTGTGCAAGCTGTGGCCCGAGCTAACCATCACGGAAGTGCTGGGGGTGCCTCAGGTCTGAGACAGGGACCTGATTGCCCTTAGCAAACACTCCGGTATGGGGTCCTGGCTGCTGCTCTCTTCGGGGCAGCATGGTGGGCAGCACACAGGAGGTGCTCATCATCTCCATAGCATGCTGACCCCTGCCTGCACCCAGGCTGGTCGGCCACACCGCCCCAGCACGGCCACAGTGGACAGCGAATGCCTGCAAGGACAGTATGGCCCCCAGACTGCATTTTCCTCCGCCTCTCCTATTACACAGAAAATGAGGACTGGCAGAGATGTGCCTCTAGCACGGGCAGTGGTATCAGGACCCTGGGATCTCCGTGCAGGGGTGACCCCGCTCCCTGGAACAGGTCGTGAGCCTTCCTGGAGCACTGGCTCCCAGCTCCTGGCTGCAGGGCAGGGGCGCGTCCGTCCGGGGTTCCTCCTGGCTCGCTCTGCATGGGTGGTGCTGACTCTTGGTCCCCAATGCGGTATGCCTGCCTGCTCTGTGCCTTTGGAAGGCTTATGTAACGCCCTGAACCCCCCGGGTCACTTGCAGGACCGGGCCTGGGAGGTGAACAGCCGTATTCTGGCCTCTGAGCGGTGAAAGTGGAAGGAGCCTTTTGGTGAGGGGTGGGGCGGGAGGCTGGAGCGGCTCAGGAGCTGCCCCCTCCCCCCTCCCCTGGGCCCAGAACTGGGCAGCTGGGGCCTCTGTGGGGAGAGTGACTGGTGGGGGTGGGATGGTCCGAGGCCTCTGCTGGGCCTTCGTGGTTTTGTGCAGGTTTCTTGGGGAAACCTCTCCGTCCCAACCCCAGCCCTTCTTCCAGCCGCCTGGGGAAACTGAGGCACCAAATGGACAAGTGGCTTGCAGGTCTTCATTTGAGAAAACCCACAGGGATGGGCCCCCGAGTCAGGCCCTGACTCAGCTCCCAGCCCTTCTCCCTGTGGTCTCCTAAGTGGAGGGGAGGGAGGATGCTGGCTCTGAGCAGGGAGGCTGGGGTGAGGGAGGGAACCCTCAGGGGAAATTAGCCCAAATTAGCAGTGAGAATGAGGAAGAGCTGGTGTTCGCTCCTCTCCCCTTGCAGATAAATATTTAATCACAACAACAATAATCAGGCGATGATCATAATAATGTGCAGTGGCTGGCCCGTAACCGGAGCCCCAGTCTCAGCGGGAGGAAGTAGGGTGGGGGGAGGGAGAGCAGGGAGGGCTTTCTTCTCACTCAGGAGCCCTGGCCTGGGGACTGTGAGCTGGGCTGGGAGGTAGAGGGTCCCCGTCAAACTTCTCGATGCAGGGGGCGGGTGGAGGGCCCCGCGCTCAGCTGCTCCCTGGCCTTACAGGGAGCACCTCCCGGCCGGCCGGGGCTGGTTTCTCCTCCAGGAGCCCCCCCGCCCCGAGGGTCGGCAGCCTGCTCCCCTGCCCTGGCCTCTGTTTCTCCCGTGGGTTGGGCCTGGGGGTGGCTGCCCACTCTGTGGCTGTGCTGTGGAAGGCGCCTCTTCCTCCAGGGCCCGTCTGAGGCTGTTCCTGGGGACTGTGCTGATGGCAGCGGGAACAGGCCTTGGACATCTTCAAACATGACCTAATTTCTGCCTTAAGCTCTCTCGTTTCGACCGGAGTGGAGCCGCAGCCGGGAGGATACCAAGTTCGGGAGATTTATGGAGTCTTTGGTGATAACCTCCGGCATCTCCTTCTCCTCGGCTCCTGACGAGCGACCAGAATAGCTAATGTCTTCTTGGGGCTTCAGTTTGATATCCTTTCCCTCTCTCTCTTTCTCTCTCCCTTCTAAGGTTGGTAGGAGGAGAGGAGCCGAGCTGTTTCCTCCTTGATGCCAAGATACGCCAAGCTGGGAGCACCCTTCCCTCCCCGCAGTCAGCCGCCAAGCACAGGCCCACAGCACTCGGGGGCCGGGACCCGCGTTTGCCCGCAACCCCGGCCACTCGCTGCCGTCTGTGGGCCGGGACCCTGTGGGCTTCTCAACGAGGAGGCAGTGGGCGAGAGCCTCAGCATGGGTCAGCCCTCCGGCCGCTGAAGCGGCCCTGCCCATGCGTCCCCAGGCTGCCGCCGCCGCCGTGTGGCCAGGCACCTGCCTGGGCTAGGAGTGGGGCCCGCTGTGCATGGGTCTCTAGGGAGTCCAAGATGCCTGGGAAGAGAGGCGGGAGCCGGTGGTGGGCACGGCTGCCCCTCTGCCTGCTCCTCAGCCTGTCCGGCCCCTGGCTGCCCTCCTCCCTGGGGAAGCCCAAGGGCCACCCGCACATGAACTCGATCCGTATAGATGGGGACATCACGCTGGGCGGCCTGTTCCCTGTGCACGGCCGGGGCTCCGAGGGCAAGGCCTGCGGAGAACTGAAGAAGGAGAAGGGCATCCACCGGCTGGAGGCCATGCTGTTCGCCCTGGACCGCATCAACAACGACCCGGACCTGCTGCCCAACATCACGCTGGGCGCCCGCATTCTGGACACCTGCTCCAGGGACACCCACGCCCTGGAGCAGTCGCTGACCTTTGTGCAGGCGCTCATCGAAAAGGACGGCACGGAGGTCCGCTGCGGCAGTGGCGGCCCGCCCATCATCACCAAGCCCGAGCGCGTGGTGGGGGTCATCGGTGCTTCGGGGAGCTCCGTCTCCATCATGGTGGCCAACATCCTTCGCCTGTTCAAGGTCAGTGCCCAGTGGCCGGCCACAGCCCAGCCCCTTTCTCCTCTTCCTGCCCCCACGGGAGAGCGTTTGTTCCTAGGGTTGAGGGTGTGGAGTCGGCCTGCCCCAGTTCAGGGTGTTGTGTGGGAGGGCGCTGACCGTGGTGCTGAGCTGGCAACCCAGGCCGGGTCGGAGTTCCTCGGTACTCTGCTGGGACACTCGGATCCAGGGCGGAGGGAGGAGGGGCGGCGGACAGAGCGAGATGGAGATGCCAGAGCGGAAGGTGGGTGGTGGAGATGCCAGGGAGAGAGGGTGAGACCCTGCTCTCCCGTCGTTTTCAGCACCTGCAGTCCCCTAGGAAAACGCCTTTTCCTTCCGGGTAGTTGAGGAATTCCCTCGTGGCCTTGCCGCCGTGACTATGGCGAGAGAATGCACCCTCCTGTTTGGGGGGGAGGCTGGGGCTTCGGGATAGAGGCTGCAGATGAGGCTGGGCGAGCCGGGCCTGGCGGGAGACCAGGCCTCTTCCCGTCTCGCTTCCTCCCCTCTGCCCTTTCTCGAACACCTTCCTCCCTTTCCTTCTGAAATCCCTCCCTGCCCCCTCCTTGCCGCCTCCCTTCCTCTCTTCCTGGGGCAAGAGCTGCTGATTTGCAATTCAATTGGAGCCAAGTGCTTCGCTAAGCTGCTAAAACAACTGAAAGCTACCGGGTAGAGAGAAAACATTACAAGCATTTTACCAATAATTACGTGCCCGCCTCGCGCTCTCGCTCTTGCTCTTGCTCTCGCGCTGTCTCTGTGCTCGCCTGGTTTGCTCTGTGTGCATGTGTGAGCGTGTGTGTGTGTGTGTGTGTGTGAGAGAGAGAGAGAGAGAGAGACAGAGGGAGAGACAGAGAGAGAGGGAAGAGAGAGCGGAGAGCATGGGGCACAGAGGAAGCCACTGGGGTCCCTCTTTGCCCTGGTGTCAGTTTCTCGGCCTCCTGAATTGGGAGTGGACTGGGAGAGGCTGCTGGGCGCTTTGCAGGCTGGGAAGAGCTGTGGCGGATCCCTGTCACCTGGCCCCTTTGTGGGACTGCCCTGATGTGAGGCCAGGGCAGGAGAGGGGTGCATGGAGCGGACGGTTCTGTGTGGAGCCGGGGACAGCGGCGATGAGGACAGGACTGGAGCTCTCCGGTCACAGGGCAGGCTGCCTCCTGTGTGCACAGCATCTGCACATCCTTGCTGTGCCATGCGGTCCCGGAGTCCTGGCCTTGTCCTGGAGTGTTGATTTGACTTGGTGATCTGGGTGCAAACACATTGTCAACAGCAAAACAAATGAATGTTTCGTGCAGAGCTTCAGGTGTGTGAGGCAGGAGGCCTTGAGCAAACCCTTGGGACTGAGTCATTGCTGGGCCCGTCCAGGGCTCCCACCCCATGGGCTGTGCCCTACGGACTGGAGACCAGTAAGTTGGAGGTGGGGGCCCTCGGGCCGTTGAGTCTTCACTAAGTCACTGGGCCCAGGCCTAGGAGGGGAGGCAGCCTGGGCATCTCAGAAGAGGGGACGAGCCCTGGACAAGGAGCACAGACCCCCAGCCTCCAGGAGGGCCACACCACACGTGGCGCTTTCTCATTCGGTATCTCTCCTGATCTGGGCCTTCTAGAAAGTCGGTAAACAGCTTGCCCTGGGAGCGATGCCCTGGGTGAGGGTCCCTTCTGCCACCACCCAGAGGTGAGGAGGTGGAGAGGCCCAGGCCAGCCGAAGGGTGCAGAAGCTCAGAGGCGTCCCCTGGCAGCGTTGGAGTTCCAGACACAGCTGTTTGGGGATGAGGCATCAGTGCCCACCCTTACCACGATGGGCGGGGCCGCACTGGGGAGGGGCCTGGGGCCGTGTACCCAGTGGGTACGGACAGGGATAGGGAGCCCCCCACAGGACTGGGGAGTGGGGAAGGGGTGGTTGGAGGGGGCTGGAAGGGGAGGGAGGGGCTCAGAGAGCTGCTTTAGCTGGTTATTGCTCGAGGGGGCTGCACGAGGCCCCCAGTGATTAAAATAAGGGGCTGGGCCAGGAGCCTAGAGAGCAAGATGATGCAACTTTAGGGAGGCTGGGGAAGGAGCTTCCAGGAGGAGAGGGAGAGGGAGGGGCCGTGCTGGCCCAGCCCCCAGCCCCACAGGGCCCGCCGCCTTCCCTCTGCCCCCCAGAGGTGGATTGCTGGTGCTCAGCCTGGGAGGAGCTGTGGATCTGGGGACGCTGCGCGTGCAGACTGTGATGGGGTCAGAGCCAGGATACAGAGATACTCCGACGCGTTGGAGCTGGAGGGGCCGACGCATCCTACAGACGTGGAGACTTGGCCCTGAGCGACCCCCAGGGCAGGGCTGGAGCCAGGCCTCGCCCCTGCTGCCAGAGACCTCCGAGGGAGCGGAGTTGCTGGTGGGACTCAAACCCAGATCTCCTCTGGGGACCAGCAGCCCTGGCACTGGGAATCCGCAGGTCTTACAGCTCCCACCCCTGTCCCTCCTCCTCGTTGTAGGCCATTCTCCCAGGACAGGAATACTGGTGGCTGTGAAAAATACCAGGGGTAGTGGATCCAGCCCAGGTGCTGGAGCCGGTCAAGCTGCGTCCATTCAGTGTCCATTCAGTATATCAGTTATTTACACTATAGTATGAACGAGGCAACAAGCCACTCATGGTGGGTAGAGTTTGTGACTCAATGGGTTAAGCCACTGCTGCAGTTGCCCACGTCGCAGTTTGGAGTGCTGGTTCAAGTCCTGGCAGTTCTGCTTCTGATCTAGCTTCCTGCTCGTGTGCACGGGAGGCAGTAGATGATGGCGCAAGTGCTTGGGTCCCTGCTGTCTGTATAAGAGACCCCGATAGCCTTTCTGGCTCTTGGCTTCGCATATGCTGTTGCAGGCATCTGGGGAGTGAACCAGCAGAGGGAAGCTCTCTCCTTCTCTCTCCTTCTCCCTCTCTCTCTGTCACTGCCTTTCAAATAAATAAATAAGTTTTAAAAAAAGCAAGGCTTGGGGCTGGTGCTGTGGCTCACTTGGTTAATCCTCTGCCTGCAGTGCCGGCATCCCATATGGGCGCTGATTCTAGTCCCGGTTGCTCCTCTTCCAGTCTAGCTCTCTGCTGTGGCCCGGGAGTGCAGTGGAGGATGGCCCAGGTCCTTGGGCCCTGCATCTGCATGAGAGACCAGGAGGAAGCACCTGGCTCCTGGCTTCAGATCGGTGCAGTTTTGGTCGTAGCGGCCATTTGGGGGGTGAACCAATGGACGGAAGACCTTTCTCTCTGTCTCTCCCTCTCACTGTCTATAACTCTTACCTGTCAAATAAAAAGAAAAAGACAAAAAATAAAAAAATTTAAATTAAAAAAAAGCAAGGCTGAGTGACAGAGAGAGAAGAGAATCTTCCAGCCGTTGGTTCCCTCCTCAAATAGCCACAATAGCTGGAAACCATCCGGGTCTCCCGTGTGGGTGGCAGGAATCACCTGCTGCTTCCCAGGTGCAGGAGCAGGGAGTTGGGCAGAAGCGAAGCAGCGGGGCCTGGGCTGTGGCCGAGGAGGTTCAGGCACCGCCTGTGATGCCAGCACTGCTCTGAGTCCCGGCTGCTCTGCTTCCGATCCAGCTCCCTTCCAGCTTGCCTGGGAAGGCAGCAGAGGATGGCCCAAGTGCTTGGGCCCCTGTACCCATCTGGGAGACCCGGATGAATCTCCTGGCTCTGCCCTTGGCCTGGCCCAGCCCTGGCTGTTGCAGCCAGTGAACTAGTGGATGGAAGATATCTCTCTCTCTCTCTCTCTCTGCTCTCGCTCTGTCTCTCTGCCTTTCAAATAAATAAGTGCATTGTAAAAAACAAAACAAAACAAAACAAAAAAACAAAAAAACCAACAGCAGACAGACTCCAGTATGGGGTATGGGTGTTGAATGAGATGGCCCACTGCACGGCCCATCCTGTCATTCTGGCTTTCAAATCAATAAATCTTTTATTTATTTTTTAAAAAATCCATTGTGAGAACAGCCTTGCTGTGGGGAGAAGGAGCTGACTAGTGTCCCTGAAAGAGCGTGGTGTCCGAGTCCTGGGCTGGTTCCTGTTCCAGGGTCCCCGGCGGTCCCTCCCTGAGTTCTGCATTCAGTGTGGAGTGGCCAGGGCAGTGCCCACCCGGGAAAGGCCGTGTGGCGTGGGTGGAACCCCGGGCTCTGGAGCCGGACAGCCTGGGACCAATCGGTTGGAAAGCTGCCTCAGTTTTCTCAGTTGTAAAATGGGCGTGGTAACAGCCCTGACCCCGTGGGCAAAGGCAGTGGGCGTTGAGAGGCGTCGCGTGGTGCCTGGCACACAGTCAGCCCACGGGAAATGTCACTGCACAGCTTGTGGCCCGGCCTTCCGTCCTCTTGAGCGACGGCACTGGGCACTGATGCGGAAAAGGCTGGAGCGGGCTGGCGGTGACAGACGGTGACCTTTGAGGCTGATCCTGGAGAGCCCTGCCATCTGCTGGCCTCTTGTGTCTTCTGCCACGGACGGGCTGCGTGCTCAGCGTGCTGCGGTTCCGATCGCTTGTTTTCTCAGTGGACGGGGGGAGGGGCAGCCCCCCAGCCTGCCTTGTGCGGGGCTCTCAGTGCCAGAATGGCCTGTGGCTGCTTCCGGGGCCCTCGGCGCCTGGCCCAGAGCTCCAGCCGGGGGTGGTGCGCGGAGGGTTGGTTAATAGAAGCTGTTCTGTGGAGGGTGTGCCTTTTGTGTCTTTCTAGTATGGGCACTGGGCAGCTGGGAGGGACTCCAGACAGAATCCGCCTGCCCTCCGCCCGCTTGTCTCTCCTGAAGACAGCTCTGCCCTTCTGAGCTCGTGCTGCAAACCTGCAGCCTTGGGGGCCTCCCTCTCTGTGTGCCTCAGCAAACCCTCAGGCTCTGTTTCCAGGACTGCCCAGGCCGCAGCCGCCTGTACCTCCCCATCACCCCTCTCCTCTCCCGCACTGCGCGCGGTCTCCCCCAGCCACACCTTCGCCCAGCAGCTGGAACAGTCCTTCTAAAATCCAAATCAAACCTGCCTACCCTTCACTTAAGCCTTGTGCTGGTTTCTCCTGGCTTTAGATTAGAATGCAATCTCCTGGCCCGTGTGAGAGGCCCTGTGCTCATTCCCCTGGCCAGGGCCGCTTGTCCCTGGCTGCACCCCAGCCCACTCATACTGTTGGCTTTACATTGCTTGAAGACATCAGGCTGTCTTCTAACCCCAGGCTCTTTGCACCTGCTGTCACTGCGGTCTGTATTGTTCTCCCTCTACTTTTATTAAAATTTTTATTTATTTATTTATTTGCGAGGCAGACACACACGCACACACACACACACACACACACACACACGGATATCCCATGTGCTGGTTCACGCGCCAAATGCCTTCAGCAGCTGGGAGTGGGCCAGGCTAAAACCCAGAGCTGGGAGCGCAATCCAGCAGGGAACAGCGGAAGCTGGAGTTAGGTGCCAGCCCCAGGTTCTCTGATGTGCGACCCGGGTGTCCTTCCCATGCGTGGCTTAGTGGCTGGGTTACCTGCCCTCTGGGAAGGCACAGCTTCCTTGTCCAGGTCCCGCCCGGAGCTGCACTGCAGGCAGAGGCTCCCGCCCCGTCCCACTCCCTCTTAGCTCCCGCCTTTCCTTCTCCACACCCATGGCGCCTAAATTCAGGGTCGTCTTTGTTCTCCTGTTTGCCTTTGGCTTCCCCTGGAGACCAGGGGTTAGCAAAGTGCAGCCAGGGACCAGTATGGGCACTGCCCTGGGGCTGTGTGTGTGTGTGTGTGTGTGTGTTTCCAAGGGTTTGAAACAGAAGAAGATGTCTCATGACAGGAGAAAGTGATGTGAAATTCACATTCTGGGGGGGGGCAAAGGGGAGGTTTGCTGGGAAGAGCCACACCCCTCTGCCTCCACGGTGCTCAGCCCCCCCCGCCCCCCCCCGCCACTGCATGGGTGAGACGGAGACCCAGCCGGCCCTGCCTGCACCAGACACCCAGCACTTGGCCTGTGGGGGGGCACAAGGAGGCTGGGCACCGGGAGGGAGGCCCCTGCATCTGCAGCCGGGGGGGGGGGGGGCTGGCTGGGCCCCCATGGCGCTGCCTCGGTGGCCCAGGCTGGCCGGCTCTGTCCTCTCTGCTGGACACCTAAGCTTTCTTCCCCATTTTAGGCGGTTCTGAGGGATTTCTCACAACAGGGCTTGCCCAGCACGTGCTGAGGAGCGACTGAGGGTGGGCTAATGAAAGCATCTGTGCAGCGCCCACCCCCATCCTCACAGAAGTGCGGGCTGAGGCACGGAGGAGCAAAGCCACTCTCCCCAAGCACTTGGGCCATCCTCCACTGCACTCCCCGGCCACAGCAGAGAGCTGGCCTGGAAAAGGGGCAACCGGGACAGAATCCGGCGCCCCGACCGGGACTAGAACCCGGTGTGCCGGCGCCGCAAGGCGGGAGGATTAGCCTAGTGAACTGCGGCAACCGGCCCCCACTACTCTTGTCTCTTCACAGCCGCATAGGCAGGGGTTGTGGCCATGCGTGGTCCTGGGGCTCAGCTCACCTATCTGTGAAATGGGTGTGAAGTGTTCACCTGGCAGGAGGGACTATGTGCAAAGCCCTGAGCAGGCGCTCAGGGGAGGCTGGTGTTGCAGAACAGTGTGCATGTGAGGTGGCAGGGGTTGGGTGTTTGGGGAAGGAGAGGGCCGGGCTGCCCCTGCCTAGAGCGGGGAGGGAGGAGGGAGAGGGGCTTGCACGGGGAAGCAGCTGTCCCTAGGGGAAGCTCAGTGGCCCCTCTGCTGCTGTGGCTCCTTGTAGCCAGGTCCTTGTCTTGGCCGTGGATGGGACGCGTTGCCCGGGGGGGGGGGGTCCTCACGCCCGCCGCACAGCGCCGTCTCCCCAGGAGTTTAGGGAGCGCGTCCTTTCTGGATCCCAGTGTCTGTATTTGGACAC